GAAACGTCAGCCTTCCTGCTCCTCTGATGCTCCTTGGCCTGCTGTGTTCATCCAGCTCTACACCTTGTTGTCTCAGATTCTCCAGCATCTGCAGTTCCTAATATCTCTGAAAGAATATCCTACATACAGTTCTAGAAGTGGGTAGAATTTTGTAATGGATACTATTCAAGTCTCCCAATCTGCAGAGATTTCTTTGAAAGCAGCATTATTCTCCAATCCACCCCTCATTTCAGAAACACAGGTAAAACAGCATTAACAAGCCTGCTACTAAATCTCCATGGAAGTTTTCTGGGAGAATTATCAGTTCACAATGTACTGCACAGACAGGGAAAGACTCACTATACCTTCACGCAATAGACTTTGGAAGATTGAACATGGATGAAAAAATATTCTCTACATTGTCCGAGAACTCAGCCAAACTGTGCTTTGGAAAAAGAGTTAGATAGAAGTGGCGGGATTGAAAAACACAAAGGGAAAAGTCAATTCTTACTGCTCCAAGAACTCCCTTACACCAATGGAATGCCAGTGAACAGGTGCCTGGCTGTATGCAAGAAAAGAAATGGTATACAGGATGACTGACTAAGTTTCACAGTAACAGAAAGAAGGGTCAGAAATCAAATCAAAATTAAATTATACCCTCCTTATCCTCAACTAATATTTTCTATAGTTTATGTGACAGCTTAGCAATCCCAGCACTTTTTTTTCTACCTTGAAATCCACTCTGATCCTATGGACTCCATCTGCTAATGGTTTTTGTTTTCCACAGGTGACATTCGTCAAAGGGGTGAGCAGGTTCAGAGTACTGGGTTCAAACTTGCTGACAGCAATCACTTTATCCTAAAAACAAGAAACATAAAATAAATAAAGCTGTTGTTTGATGAAAAGCATTTGTCAGCAATTAGACAATACCTGCTCAAGCTATAGTTTTCAAAATCATAATATTTAACTGGCAGCACAGCATTGGAGATTAGCTTTCAAAAGTATATAACTTCTGCTAGAAATATGCAAGAAATATTGGTCGCCATATAAGTTACATTTTGTTCAGTTAAAATAATGCCATTTTTTAATTTCTCCATCACCATTTTCCCTGCCCTCACAGAGAGGGGTTGGAACTGACTCTAGAGGTTCAGCTGCTCAGATCAGCTAACTCAGGATGCAATTAGAATTACACTTGTGAACTTGTCTGTGCCATTTAGTATTACAATATTCAGCACCCCCTAAGGGAGCTTAGTGGCACTGAGCCAAGTTACTTGTTTGGGTGAGATGGTGGGGATCACAAGTAGAAAGTAAACAAAAAGAGCCTGCAAGTGCAATACTGCACTCTTCACATGAAGAATTCCACAAAGCTTTTGTCATGCTTCTGCAAATTATGTAACTGCTTTAGAATGAATGTTAGTCAAAAAAACTTCAATTGTCATCAAAACAGAACATCCACCTGAATGCACATTCTATAGAGAATTCAGACTTGACCAGACACTGCTTAAATATTCCACTTCAGCCTATTGTCCATCACAATAGTCCAGGTGGACTCGGGAGCTTCACATTAGTGAGCAATGGTGATATAAATTCACATCCTAAAGGAAGTAAGTTTCAAGCTGCTCAGGGTATTTAACCTAGTCCTATGAATGGAGGACTGGAAAATTCTCAAGAACAATGGCAAAAAGCCAATGGCAACTTGCTGGTTCTTGCGTCTCTGACCTCTCCTTAGAGCCTGCCCTATAAAGGGATTTAACCAAAGTTGGATTCACTCCAGTTACGTGCTCTCTAAGAAAAGGAAAGGATATCCCAATAGTTATTAATATAGATCTATTTGCCATATGGTTTCATTTTCCCTTTTCCTACCCACAGAGAAGTGCCGGGATTCCAAATGGCAAATGGTCAGAGGCAAGAATTAAACTGGGATGTCACAGTATGGGTAATTACAGGTACAAACCCACATAGTATCAGGCCACAGCGCAGCGTACAATAATGTTCCACAAAGAGGCTCTAAAGCAAAACACTAAATAAAAGAATTAAAATAAAACATTCTGAAGAACCCGAAATGTAAACTCTGCTTTGTCTCCACAGATAGTGCCAGACCCGCTGAGTTTTCCCAGCGATTTCTGCTTTTGTTTCAAATAAAGAATGGCACCAGAGCAAAGAAAAGTGACTTATGCTGCTGTAAGAAATGCCTGCAATAATCTTAAATTGGCAGGTACATTTCACTGCTATGTATACTGACACTCAGAGTATTAACAGCCTGGCATTAGTATCTACCCATATAATCACTTAATTTTATCAGGTATAGTGCATCTGTCATTACAAATCTGTGACTAACGCAGTGGAACCCACCTCCATTTATCAGACACAGCACAAACCAGCATTAGGTACCTTCCCAATAGGGATGGCGAATAATCAGACTATACATCTCAAAGTCAAACTAGTCAATAGCTAGTCACAACAGTGATGTATCGGGGTAGCTTTCATCATGTTCCCTTTCATGTTTTCTGAAAAAATAAACTTTAAATTCCTCTCTACCATACATGTGGTGACATTAATACTTTTCAGTCCTGATGGCAGCCTCAATACGAGAGACAGCATGAGCAGATACACTAGGTATGGCTGGTGAAAATTAGTGCTGGCCCTAACAATTACTTATGAAGCATCACTGGTAAAAGAACAAGGAGAACATCACAGTGCATGATTCAAGGGATTGTGGACAATATTGAAATCTATTATGGAGAAAATTTACTCTTCAATGGGAGGGTGTGTGTGCGCGTGCAGGGAAAAGAGGCAAATGAAGTCAACATCTTTAATAAAATGGTCCATAAAATGAGAAATAATTCTAATACACTCAGTGGCTTTACTCTTTGCAAAGAAGAATCGTAGTTTAATTCCTCATCTCTTACTCTCTTCTAGCCTTTTTCCTGTGTCTCACTAATGACATCCTTCTTTTATTACGTCCTTCTTTCATTTTCCACCCTGCATTTCTACCTCAGTTGAAAGCTCATGACTTGTATTGATTGTCTTTCACATTCCTTTGATCAGTGTCTGTTCTCATCTTTCTTCTGCCTGTTTCTCCTCTTACTTCCTTGCTTTTATTCTGTTCTCTTTCAGTCCTCCCTCAATAAAAATTTTGCATGAAGCAACCTAGCAGTCTAACGAGGTTTTATGTGAACATGCTGCAGCATAAAACTAGGAGGACATGTGTTCAAGCTCATCATCTTTCTCTTACAGTCCTGACATCAGTTGGGCCAAGCTGGAGGAGAAACTAGTCCTGAGGGAAGGAAAATCAGTCGGACAGCAAGTCAACCTTAGCCACACCTGTTTGCAGCCTGTCACAGCATCGTTGACAGACACCTGAAAGAAACTCGTCCTGATGAAAAGATGCTTGGTAAAATGGAGAATGCTATTTTAAAATGCTCGCGTCAGTTCTATTGCAATTCTCCTGCCCCATTACTTTTTTTAACAGCTGATTTGTGGTATGACAAACAACAGCCTAGGAATAAGTAACCATACAAAACCACTGTAGGAAAAATATGTTAGTATTATGTTTACAAACTGGGAAGATAGAGTATTTATAGCAACCCGTTCCTTTAGTATTAAACTAAGACCTTACGCAGGAGGGACTGCGGACAGGTTTCCTATTCAAGAATTTTGTGTCCCCATGCCTCTGATATTAAGATGCGTAAAAGCTGAACTGGGAAAGAACATCTAAGATCAGAGCATGCGTTGCACACATTAACTCTACCTGACTTATGAGAATTGAAGTCACATCAAATGAACTGAAAGCCCATACTGCACAGTCCTTTCCACTAGATTTAGATACATTTTGGGCCATTTCTGTGCCCTGCACCTGAAAAGTCTTCAGCATTTTTCCAGTAATGAAAGAAAGACAAGGTTTTACTTAGCAGGAGAATTAGAAGGGCCAACTTATTAGTCTAGTGAAAGCAACAATTATAATGGTACCTTTTTTTGAAAACATGGGGCGCCAGGTCCATCAGAAGAACAGATTGAAAAATTATAGGCACATTCACCATTGCTTCTCCATTATTATAAGAAAACCCGTGGGAAATAATCGTGCAATTTTTTTGATTATGGTCTGCCACAAAGAAAGACTTGGTTCTGGGAGAACACATTTGTGAAATTAGTCCCTACATAAATGTCATTTAATATCAAAGTTGGCCTCAGTTGCTCAAACAGGTAAAGGTCAACTTTAACACAGGAGTATATCCAATAGATCCAATCCACTCTGTCAACGAGTCTCGGCAAAAGCATCTTTTTGGGGTGCTACAACCGGTCTTAGACCCTTAGGCTAGAGCAGTGGAAAGAAAGTCAGTCAATCAGGAGCCTGTGATGCTCGCTATATTAAAACTAATGCACTTACCATCTGGGTTAAAGTGCACATTGCATACTGAAGACCCCCAGTCTAGCGGACCTGCACCTACATGTGTCAGCAAGTTAATTTCCCTTTAAAATCAGACAATTTCTACATGAATGAACTGATCATATAACACTAATGCCAGAAAATCTTGGCTCCCAAACTCTCTACAGCAAGATGGGCTAAGCAAGAAGCCCCATACATTGCTACCGGCATTAAGTGAAACGCTAAGGAGCATCAACCACTGGCTTCTTATGCATATTTTCTGAGCTGTCATTGGACAGCATGGATAGCTAGGAATCCTCTTTTGTCAGGGATCCATGTGTAACAGGAAGATCTTAATGAAAAGCGAAGTAGGGATAAGAAATGACTGAGATAAAAGGTGGGCAACTGAATAGGTTTTACAATTTTAGGGACCCGGGAGAGAACTCTACACAACACAAGCGGATTTTAGAAATGTAGGTGCACAGTTTAGGGGTATACCTGAATCACGACCCTGTTTGGTTACTTGTACTTGTTTTAACACTGAAAATTTGAGGCCACAAATACAACACACTGCCCTTTGCACACCAGAATTCCCAACACAATACAGAGCATCATGTGTTGAGAGTAAGAACTGTAAATTATAAAATCTAACCAGGACAAGGCAAAACAGATGCAACATTTTTGGCCTAGACATGAAGGGAGGTTCTAAGAAACCTGATGTGCAGTTCATCCAACGCAGAACAGCACAAGAAAAAGAAATAACACCAGATATCTGCAACCTATGGAAGCATCTTGGGCAAATGCAATCAGAAGATTTAAAACAGTGGCATGATTTTTTAATGTCATCAGAATGATAAAGGTTACCTAGGAGAACACGCATACACCAAAATGTGCTGGAGTTGTCCTTTAAGTAAGGTAGAATTAAAACGCTAAGATGAAAGTTTAAATCTCACCTTTTCTTTCGGCTTTTTAGTTTTTAACTGAACATTGAAACGAGCAGGGGCTTTCTTCTGCTTGTTCAGCTCTAGTGCTGGGGAAACAAAGATCTTTATTAAGCGACAAACCAAGATGAACCTTTCACTGACAACAGGTTCAGATTGTATGAGGCATTTTTTCCCTGAAATGCTTCAAATTCAGTAAAATCTGTTGTTACCTAGCCAAAAGGTACAGTAGCCCTTTAATTGTCTGAGAATGGACAGGGGCTTTGTGGTACCTTTAACAAAAGACATAGTGGACTGTTTCGATGGCTCGGTTAGTAAAGTATGCCACTTAGCCATACGGATCTGAAGGTCATAGGTCAACTCCCAGTCTCTGCTGATGTTTGCCAGTGCAGCATTTGGGGGATCTACAAATGTTCTCCATACTCTAGGAAAGGGATAGAAATCATGCAGGTCTCTGGCTTTTGGGTGCTATCCAGCAGCCATCTAGACACAATAAGCTGATTCAGCTGATGTCAGGACTTGGCTGTGATACCCCACGAGATTAACAGCCTATCATAATTTACCTTAAAGCTCAGTTATGGTAAAGTACTATTTGGGCAAGGTACCAAAGTAGTGCCTGTAGAACTGCCTGCATCAGAGGAAGGGAGATAGATGAAAACAGACATTACATAGTAAAGCTGGTAACTGCACCATTTTAGGTGGTAAGTGTGTACGCACCTTTGCTTTCCTAATTTTCTTATGGGGAAGGTTCCGGATATTATTAGGAAGAGGTCCCATGCAAGCTGTGGAAGTTAGGGAGCAGAGGTGGAAATAAGTAGCTAAGAAACCCCATAACACTCTCAAGAGAGACATTAGTTGAAGACTGGGAACAAAGTGCCTGCCTGCTCTCTTGAGTACATCTTAAGAATCCTTAACGAGAGGGGAAAGAAATAAAACAAATAAATTGGAATATGCATCATATATTTCAGGTGCTAGACACTAAACCGGCTGTAGAACAACGTAGAACCAATTCTAACAGTTTTATCTTGAGCTCATTAAACAGGAGTGCCACAGTTATTGAAATGGAAGACAACCCGGCCTGGTCTGAGGGAACAAACTGCTAGAAGTCAGGAGGTTCTCAAAATAACAACCCCAGCCACATACTAAAAGAAACTCTGCACAAAATATTTCCTGCATGGCATGCAAGCATTCCTTAAAACTTAGCGAAGAAAAATCTGTAACAACTATAGATTGGGCCATCTTGTAATAGCATTATTCAACACTATCAATAAATTCCCACCTGCAGCAAATGGACTGAGTCAAAGCATGAAAAGTAATAAGTCACAAAAGGCAGGGAAAAGAGACTTGTTGACAGATAAACGATGTGACACATTGAGATGACAATGCTTTAGAGGAAATAATAGAAACTGCAATTTAAATAAATCTTTAATCACAAAACTTTAGAATTTTCAGCACTTTTATACTGGAGTATTAATGACAATTGTCTTGTGACCTTGCAGAGGAAGAGACAATCAGTAATGTCAACCAGTTCCACGATTGAAGAGTTTGATTGGTAAATCTCAACACATGTTGTAGCAGTGATAAATCAGGTTGCAATGGCACCTGGTCTGGATTCCCCTCCTGCTTTTTCCAATGAGATCTTCAAACTTGCTGGGAACAATATACCTTTAACATCAAGATAGCAAAGAACTATATGCTTATTATACAACTGGAACGGGCATGAATGACAGCTAGGGAAGTGTCCTGTTAAGGTGAAAACCTGCACCCTGAAATAATGCAGTGCAATATTAATAATTACACCATTTTTTGCAAATGAGTAGATGCCTTAAAACAATGGCCAGAAGGAATTTTGTCACTTTCAAATTAAAATGTCACCCCTAATCGCAGAATGGAAGTTCATCCCAGTGACGTGCATGATAGTGGGAATGCCAAGTTCGGATTACCTGAGTCTGTTTGCAATGGCTGTTTTTTCTTAGGGTCATTCAGCCCAGGCTTGACTGATTCTTTCTTTAGTTGCACAGGTCCTGGCTGCTGAGGCAGGCTGAGGTCAGGTGGCTGAGGGGGCTGTTTGTTAGGTTTCCGGGTAGGTGAAACTATAGCTGTTTGTTGCCGGGCTTCAGAAGGTGGAGAGGAATTGTCTTCCTCAAACTGCTGGTCACTGTGTTGATGAGGAACCTGGTTAGTTTTCTGGGCATGCTCCTGCCCTTGTGAACCACCCTGGGGAGAGCTTTTATGGCTGAAGTCAGAATGCTGTTTGACTGCTGGAAGTTCCTTCTTCTCTTGTGTTTTTGTTTTCTTTTCCTTTTTCTTTACTAAGAACCAAAAGTTAGAACATATCAGTCATAATGAATAGGAACAATTCTCATCAAGCATAGCCCAATTACCACACTTCTCTCGATGGCAGTGACTCATAGATAGTTTAGTTCTATAGGAACCAACACAAATGGTCAACCCTATATCAGGGTGAGCTTCAGCCCACTGGTGAACAGTCAAAACTGGACTATTGTGAATATTCAATTTCCATGTGTGCTATTAAGGAAAGCAGATTTTTTTTTTGTTTAGAAACCTGTCTCTTAATGGGGAGCAAAGGCTGCTAGCTCCGATGTATGCTCCAAATAGTTCAGTGCTATATAGCTTATCCATGAGTCAAGAAGGGAGCATCACCCCAAAACATTGATTAAATAATTTGTACAGATGTACCTGGAAATCACACTGGCCACTACTATTCAATCTGCAGATATCTTAATAGCTGCTTAATTCCAAGTTCCTCCTGTTTTAAAGAAACCCACCAACTTAAGACATGCCCCAAAGCGATATGACAGGACAACTTAAGGACAGGGAGCCATTTAGATTAAATTCTAATCTGTTGTGAAAGTTTTTTTTAAAATGAATCTCAACATTTTAATAAGACAAATATAAACACATAGGAAGCATTAACTTCTTACTTCAACATTCCTAACATAACCTCTAAACTAGGAAATTCTTTAAGAAATGTATAATTTTAAGGGTAATGGAAAATCACTAGGCAAGCTTTACAGTGCCATTCAGCGGGGAACTAGGAACATAAGTGTCTATAATGAGGAGAATAAAATTACAAAGGGAGAGGATTCAGAGGAAATAAAACAGATTTTTACCTGTTAGACATATATATACTTTATCTCTCAGTATATCTTCATTTTTATAAATCAGCAAATAAGATGGCTCCTATCCTATTAGCAAAAATTTCATAGGGCACATTAAACACATTTAAAAATTCTGTTTGGGCGAGTTTTATTAAAAGGTCTATATACCATAATCACTGCTCTTTAAATCAATTAAATGCAGGTGAAGCATTTTGGCAAGTTTTGGACAGGTAAGCTAAGATGCTACTTCAGTAAGTCTTGATTTTCTATCTAGGCAGCAAGTGCAACTTTACAAAATTCACCTAAAGTGAAGTGCAGAAGCAGAACCAAGTGCAAATTAAAAAGCGCACAGCAGAGGGAAAACTGCAAGCACTCACCTTTAACTGGTTTTGGTGGAGGTGCTTTAGAAGGCATCCACTGGAGATTTTGACATTTCCGCATCCTGCATTCACAAGAAAATATGGAGTTGTTACAGATACAGTTGAAAAGAGAACAGATTAAAAAGAAACAAAAAAAGTTATAGAACACACATTACACTTTCAGGCACTGCACTTTGAACAGTTTAATATTATAGTTCTAATATTGAAGCACAAAGTTCGTGACAAAATTCCTCAACAGGAGAGCCTTCAAGGGGAACCAGTTAGAAAATCACACACATTGCAAACTCCATGCCCAATTCTATACATTTTTTTATGTTATCTTTCCTAAAGACAGGGACTGAGCAGCAGCACTGACAGGCCTCTAATAATTCATTCAAATGGCTGTTCCAGCGAGCCCAGATAAAACATATTGGGAAACTATTCAACTTGAAGAAGAAATCCCAGTAGAACTCAAGTTTGGGCTAAATCAATGTCCGCTTTCACTTTTGAGCTGTTCATTAAATTGGGATCAATAGAAGGAATTCCAATCGTCCCCAACCTAACCCAGTGTACCGGTTCAAATTGTCGCATTCCATCTGTTTTCTTGACGGAGATCAGTTACCCAAAGCTTGAACCTATCCAGCTGGTTATAAAGCCCCACTCACTTGCAGCATTGTTTCTTCACATTCCGACCACCAAACTTGGGTTTGTCCAAGCAGTTTGTACATTGGCCGCAGTCATCTGGTACCTGACAACCTGGACACTGCCCACACCTACGTGATCTCCTCCCTTTTCGAACGACTGGCTCCTGTGGCACCTTGTGCTTAGCAACTGGTTTAATTATTGGCGCAGGTGGTTCAGCATCCTCAGACCCAGCTACAGATGATTTATCTGTAATGCAAAGACAAGAGGTTTCAATATCTGTCATTTTCTTGGGCAACAGGGATTACATTTCTAGCATGGCAGAGACCTCCACAAATACAGGCATATTCCATACAGACTCTCAATTCCACAAAGGATCTATTTTAAATTCCAAATGTAAATGCTAGCCATCAAAAGGGAAGAAATGCTGTCATTTCATGTAATTTGTAAATATATACACACCAGTAAATGCAGACATAGGACATAATTCCTAATACATCATGCGGATAACTATCTGTACCCAGGCATAGATAGACAGACAGAATTTTGATGTCATCCACGTCCCCCAGAGTTGCCTTTGTGGTTTTGAGTTCTTATACCTCAGTTTTAATACTATAATCTATCCCAACAGCTCCAGGCCACAATTATACAAATTGAAAATCAAAAGCCAAATATGGAACTTACAACTTTCTTGGGTCTCTAGAACTTTCCACCTTACAGAATTTGATTCTCGGTGGAGAGCATATGCTCTCCAATGAAGAAGGTTCCTTATCAGAAAATGTTTAGAACAAAACCAGTCGCAGGAAGAACACTGACCAATTGTAACGAGTCAGGACTCTAATGGAAGGGCTGATTTAATTTCCCGTTGGCCCCAGAACTTGAAAAATTGTTGACTAGTCTTTCAAAACATTGTCAGCAAATTCACATGTACAGATGGGCTCTCACTTCATCTCCACTGTTTTCTACAGGTGGATTATGTCATATTTTCTTTACCTTCCATGTGAAACCGCTTGTTTAATGGTAAAGTCAGAGGTTATGCCAAATACATTAATTATAACTATTTTCCTTATACGTTATCACAGTATCATGACACCAAGTCTGACAAAATATCTATTTGATCAGTCTGCAAGAATGCCAGTTAGCTAGAATAACAGACTGTCGGGGGAAAACAGGGGCAGGAAATAAATTCAGTAACTATCACTAGAGAAAAAGTATTTAGGAAACTAATAGGGCTAAAATGCCACAGGACCCCTGGATCTGATAGGCTGCATCTCAAGATATTAAAGGAAATAGCTACAGCAATAGCTAATGCATTAGTAGTCATCGTCAGCATTCACTCACTAATCAATATGATTGTCCAGCTAGGAAATTCTGTGGTAGTAATTTTCCAAGAATCCTTACATTCTGGAAAAATTCTGCGGATTGGAAAGCTACCAATGTGACACCCCTATTCAAAAAGGGAAATAGATAAGGATTCTGCAGTGTCCCCATGCACAACTCCAGTCTATGTCCACATAAATTTTGTGCTGGTCAGACAGTCTTTAAGTTCACCAGCTGGCTACGTCACTATACAATTAGTCTAGGTCTCTGGATTACTAGTCCTGAGACATTACCACTATATCACAGTCTTCGCTACTGAAATGTAAGATTCAGAAGGGCATTATGGGGTAGATGCAGAGATAACGCTTCTCGTTGTGGCAGAATCCAATCAGAGAATAGAAGGAATTTCTTCCCTAAACACGGTCAATAGCTTTGGGAATTCTCCTTCTGAGAACAGTGGAAGCTGTGCTACTGAATACACTCACGGCTGAGTTACAAAGATTTTTAATCCAAGGATCACGGAAGGAAGAAGGGAAAGTGGAGTTGAAACCACATTAATTTCGGCCGTCGTTTTATTGAATGCATCAGAGTTAAGTGGAAGAGGTTCAAGGGGCCAAACAGCCGACACCTGCTTCAATTTCTCATGACCGTATGAAAAGTTGCACTGTGTTCATTATAACTCCACATATTAAACCACTAAGTCAGTCAGGTACAACTTCATTCAAGTTTAACTGTCTGCACAGGTATAAGTAAAGGCCACGTTTTTACAAGTCAGACAGGCACTTAAAACTCCAAACTCTACATTGTCAAGGCTTTAGAAAAAAAAACTCCTATTGTAACATATCAGCATGGGTTTGAAAACTTAATTTGGAATTTCCCATCTTCAGTATTAGTCAACTGACAAATACAAGCACACAAAACATCACTATAATGAAGAGTGCATAACAAAACACAGATTAGATATGTAACTTGCCTGGTCAGAACTGAAGTTGGGTTTCAACAACCTATTATCTTTACTACCACAAAGATCATTTCAGTTCCTGAAATGACCCAAGCTTTCTATACAGTTTTACTCATTATAAAAGTTGAATACACTTTCTGGTAACAGCATTCAGTCTTTCAGATTTTGACACACACTTGGCAAGCCTAAGCTTGCTCACATTATAATTTTCCGTTGCAAGGAATGCAAACTGGCTAAGTTAGGAAGTAGTGGTTATGCACACAGAAATTATTTGACAGGCTAGAGGGCCCAGTACTAACAAAGCTCTGTAACGGTCATTACGATGTGACAATCATTCAGTCTATAGTTACGGCATCCGATTTGGTAAAACAGGACTACACTTGGTCATGCGCCAAGAAACCACCAGGTGACTAACTGTAAACATAAGTCATACTCAGTGCTGTCCTCAGACTGATTTATCCTCAGTCTTCCAGGAATCAATACAAGAGTGTCTCTGGACTCAAAACACTAACTCTGCTTTCTTCCTACTGATGCTGCCATTCCTACTGTGTTTCACCAGTAATCTCTGTTTTGTTTCAGATCTCCATCATCTGCAGTTCTTTGTTTTATTTTATCAATACAAAGGATACTAGCTCAACTTTAAAAACATATGCCAGATCTTTGATGTCAAATAATTATCACATTTTCTTTTACGGAGATGGGAGAGAGAATTGCAGGCCATTTGGGAGTGAAATTAGACAATACTTTTTCACCAGTGAAAATATGGAGCCGTGCCCTAGAAGGTTGCGGACACTTGGAGTCATTTGAAACTTCAAGGCTGAGCTTGACGGGCTTCGCTAGCTAAGGTTATCCAGGGACAGAGCGCCAGAACAAGCAAATGGGAGCTGTGGTTTAGGTTAAACAGCCACAAACAAAATACACTCAAATACTGGGTTTCGACATTAAAATGGAACATGCTAAAATGGTGCAACTTTTTGAGCAAACTGCCCACTTAGTCCTGTTTTAACCAAAGGACCATGGAATATATTTGGGTATAGCTGGGTACTGTGACAAGGGTGGGGATCAGTAACAGTAGGTCCAGGCTATATGGATGACTAGCACAGGTGAATATGTCCTGCTCCTTCCTATTTGCTAAAAGGATGCAAATGACATAACAGAGCCAGATCTGAAAGAAAAGACAAGGGTAGTAAGAAACAAAAACAGAAGTTGCTGGAAAAGCTCAGCAGGTCTGGCAGCATCCATGAAGAAAAATCAGTTAACATTTCGGATCCGGTGACCCTTCCTCAGAAGCCTGAACCATTCCGAGGAAGGATCACCGGACCCAAAACATTAACTCTGATTTTTTTCTTCTTGGATGCTGCCAGACCTGCTGAGCTTTTTTAGCAACTTCTGTTTTTGTTCCCAATTTACAGCATCCGCAGAGATAGTAGCAACTGCAGATGCTGGAGAATCTGAGATAACAAGGTGTAGAGCTGGATGAACACAGCAGGCCAAGCAGCATCAGAGGAGCAGGAAGGCTGACGTTTCGGGCCTAGACCCTTCTTCAGAAATGAAGAAATCATTGTACTGAGATTAAAATCTACAAAACAAATCTATTTCTTGAGTGAGAATGCAATTCAACTGCATTACTGTGCAGTTAAAGTTCGTGTTTCTGAATCAGTGATTGCATTTCTATTTAGCTCTTTGTTTCAGAGTGCTTGGTTTGGCAACTCAGACATATTAATAAAGAACAATAAAATTGACAATAGTGGTGAAAATGTTCAGAAAACAAGCAAATGGATGCTGTGATAACATTTTTTTATGATAGTTTATTGTTTAATTGTGGCTTTGACAACTCCTGATTATAGCACTGTTCTTTCAATAGCTTGTTTCTTACTAAATAAAAACCAAAAGAACTGCAGATGCTGTAATAACAAGGTGTAGGGCTGGATGAACACAGCAGGCCAAGCGGCATTAGAGGAGCAGGAAAGCTGACGTTTCGGGTCTGGACCCTTCCTCTACCAATGAGACGGTATTAGCCTTACAAACAATACCATGACTTAATCAAATGTTACTGGCATAAATCAAGGCTTTTTTTGGGGCATACTCCAAAGATTACATTATAGATTAGGATACTTTCGTACTCTCAATTTAGTGCCATTGTGAAGCAATCCGAGATTCAGGCAACACCAGGTTAGGATTATGGATTCAGATTCAAGACCTGACCTAAATCCTGAGTGAACCAGAAAGCTAGCCCTTGGAGGTAGCAAAATCATACCTTTTCCTGAACATGGTTTGAAGCTTCAGTGCAGTACTGAACCTGGTTTACCAAAAGTCTTGGGCACTTTCTAAACCCAATAAACTTCAATTTTTTTTTTTTTTTAAATAAAGAGCAGGAATTCCCTCCTTTCTTTATTTTAAATATTTAATTGTTGAAACAAATAGGGAACAGCTCACACTTCCTGGTAAGGCCGTTACAGTTCCAACCAGGCAATGTAAAAATTTTCTTTTTCCTCCCTAACTGACGCCACAACTGCAAAACAGATTTAAATCAATAGGAGTTGTAAGCAAAACTGTTGATGCTGGTCACTATGTAACTGGTACATGGTGATTCACTATTATCTCGTTTTAATACTTGGGCACTTATCAGATAAAAAATTTAAACTTAATGTAACAATCAATCAGCAAATCATGTATTGGCTGTCATTATCATAGACTCTGTACTGATCAAGCAAGGTTGCTCCCGCAAGAACGTGCAACATTTTCCCAAGAGGGAATAACCAGGGCTTTTTTATTATTAAAAGTAAAACTGTAATGTTAATGCCTCTTCTAATATTGCTCATAATGCACTAAAACAAATAAATGTGAGACTTTCTGAAAACAAACTGTAACAATGTGGTTTCTGTCCAATTAATATGAGCAATACTTAAACAGTTGAGTGTTTTATGGATGAACATTTTCACAGGTTCAATCTAAAACTTTGCCCAGGAAGGTGTGAGATGAGCAGTCTGTTATACCATATTTTAGTCACTAAATTCATATACAGGTTCAAATGCAGACACAGGTAACAATGTTTCACTCATTGAGGTTTCCTAGACAATTGGGTTTATTAACTTTATTCATTTGTTCTGGTTAGCCAAATACAACCAAAACAGAATATTATTAATTCAATGCATCAAAGATACAAAATCAATGGTTCATAATTTACCTCATGCATCCTGGACCGAAGTTCCAAATTAAGACAACTTCATGAATTTTCAGATGATATTTTTGGAAGTTTATACAGACTTCAACTTTAAAACCTGGAGTAGTTGAACCAGAGTGTTTTCATTTCAAAAAAGCCTTTTTGCTCTCAAATAAGATAAAACGATTTCACCCCAGGATGTTAAAATCCCACCTCAATTTCAGCGAACAAGAGTTTAAGTTTGCCTACCGTCATTCCCCATTGAAGACAGTATCTTCTCACGCTCTTCCCATGGCAAGGCACTCAGGGTAGGCATGTCATCAGGGAACACAGCCCTCTTCCGACCTAGGGCAACAGCAGCCCGCCTGCAAACATGCTTTATACGAGGCCCTCGTATTGATGCTTCTGAAGAATCACTTTCTTGACCCTGATACAATTATAAACAAATTGGGACACATCAATTTTCAGATAGAGAAGTAAAAAAGGCCCAAGTTTCCCATCCATTGCATTTGTAAGTCTTAGCGAGAGTAATTACCTAAAATAAATATATGCAAGAACTACCTTATTCTTGGAAGTCAAGCACTGTTGACAATGTTCATTAACAGTTTTAATTACACAATAAAGACATACCACAACACCAAAGTAATCAACCAATCTTAATCTCTGGAGCAATGAAGAATACAATAATTCGCATCAACTAGGTTCATATGCACAGTAGCACAATTACTGAAACAACAAGCTTTATAAAATTGACACTAGAGACCAAACCCAAGAGCATATTCTAGTTGAATTTAATAAATTTATGGGAAACAAATTAATGAAGAGTCATTAAACTCTTCAGGATTATATTCAAATAATTATTGAATAAAAATAAGTGAGGACCAATAAGTCAGCAAGGTGCCCAAGTAGAGAGACATTTTTCCTCATCAGATAAAGACTGGTACTTAAAATTGGATGATAGTTCTGTAACTGAACATTTCCTAGAAACTGACTGAGGAATGACAGCGGCAGAACTGGACGAGATCATTTGCCGATGGGCAATAACCTGAATGAAAACAGGAAGGAGAAAGCAGAATTTCACAAACGCAAAGCAGTTAAATTGGAAACTTGCCAACATTTTAAGAAATAGTTCTCAAAGAACATAGTGACTAAATCGTGATCAAATCAGTCAATAAATTAGCTATTGATCCAAATATCCAAAAAACATCCTCTGCAGTTGTATGGAAACATGGACAAAAGTACAGGGATTTTGTTTAAACAGATCAACTTTTAGCAAAACACTGCAGCTTCCCATCTCATTTTAATAGAATAAAATTGGAATAAATATGAATTATCATAATTGTGCCCTAGACATATGAACATAGCTATTGTGCATTTGTCTGTCCTTTAAGCTCTAGAGCTCAAGACTAAGTGAATATTCTGTTGCTATTCTGATACATTACTATCTAATTAAATACTGTTCAAAGAACATTATATGAACAATATTTGATTCTCAGGAATAAGGTAATTACTGCATGTATGTTGCATGAACACCATATACACACACACATAAATGCAAAGCTTCAAAGACAAAACAGTTAGTCAGAAAAGTGGAGATTGACATTTTCATGAGTGACATTTTCATGAGTAACATTTTTGGACAGGCTGAAACTCTTTTCAATTACGTGGTATCGCGGGAATCTTGTAGGAACTGACATGGCCCTTCAAAAGGAGCACAAAACCAAAACGAAACTTTTTTTTTAATTAATAAATTAAGCAAGTTGTAACCTCCATGGAGGCAAATATTAACTTCTGCACACTAACTTATCAGATTCAAAATTAAATACCATTTATACAAACTTATACAATTTCACCTTTCTCCCCCTCCACAGTGCAGAGAAGAATACTGCTGTAGAGTATGTATTGAATAAATATTAAAATCCATACAAATCATCCCATTCATCTTCAGAACAGAAATAAATTTTCATCCAAATCGGTTTTCAAAATGGAACCATCATACGGATGCACGGTAATATTTGCAAAATGATATGGCTGTGACAACCTTTTGTGCAACCAATTTTATTTGATATCCCACTCCTCTGAGAAAATTTTACTATCTCCCTCCTGATTTAATCCCTGGCTTCGACAGGCCACCTTCACAGGATTGGTAACATTGAAGCCAATGTGCTGCTTCCCTCAGTAAAAGTCATTTCTCTACCAGTCATCCAGTAGTTTCACATTTTTCTCATGTTATCCTTAAAAGGTTTGCTTACAGGCATCCAAGGCTGGTTACACAACCAGGAATCAAAAATATCATAGAACACAGAACATTACAGCGTAATACAGGCCCTTCGGCCCTCGATGTTGCGCCGACCTGTGAAACCAATCTGAAGCCCATCTAACCTAAATTATTCCATTATCATCCATATGTTTATCCAATGACCATTTAAATGCCCTTAAAGTTGGCGAGTCTACTATTTTTGCAGGCAGGGCATTCCACGCCCTTACTACTCTCTGAATAAAGAACCTACCTCTGACATCTGTCCTATATCTATCACCCCTCAATTTAAAGCTATGTCCCCTCGTGCTAGCCATCACCATCCGAGGAAAAAGGCTCCCACTGTCCACCCTATCTAATCCTCTGATCATCTTGTATGTCTCTATTAAGTCACCTCTTAACCTTCTTCTCTCTAACGAAAACAGCCTCAAGTCCCTCAGCCTTTCCTCATAAGACCTTCCCTCCATACCAGGCAACATCCTGGTAAATCTCCTCTGCACCCTTTCCAATGCTTCCACATCCTTCCTATAATGCGGTGACCAGAACTGTACGCAATACTCCAAGTGCGGCCGCACCAGAGTTTTGTACAGCTGCAACATGACCTCATGGCTCCGAAACTCAATCCCTCTACCAATAAAACCTAACATACTGTACGCCTTCTTAACAACGCTATCAACCTGGGTGGCAACTTTCAGTGATCTATGCACATGGACACCGAGATCTTTCAGCTCATCCACACTACCAAGAATCTTACCATTAGCCCAGTACTCTGTATTCCTGTTACTCCTTCCAAAGTGAATCACCTCACACTTTTCCGCATTAAACTCCATTTGCCACCTCTCAGCCCAGCCCTGCAGCTTATCTATGTCCCTCTGTAACCTGCAACATCCTTCCGCACTATCCACAACTCCACCGACTTTGGTGTCATCCGCAAATTTACTAACCCATCCTTCTACGCCCTCATCCAGGTCATTTATAAAAATGACAAACAGCAGTGGCCCCAAAACAGATCCTTGAGGTACACCACTAGTAACTGAACTCCAGGATGAACATTTCCCATCAACCACCACCCTCTGTCTTCTACTTTGCAATCCAATTTCAACATTAACATCAACAAGGTGTGATCTGCACATGTACCAGATGCCATTTTATGCTTTACACAATCCTCTTTGGAGTTTCGAACCAACTATTCACAACTATATTTTCGAATCATCTTCATCCAGCCACTCTTTATTGTGAAAATAGAGTATCACTTTTTTTTTGGAAACCGTTTTGGGGAAGGATTCTCTTTTGAATAGGATCATTAGTTAAGCTCTGGCCCTTTAGCCATACAAGACAACTGTGAACCTGTTCCTTTCATGTTCAGTTATCTTCACTAACATAGTTTTCTCCACGACTGTGCTCACCTTTTAACAGTCTGGCATGTCAAAATTCTTGGCAGTCCCATCCAAATTCCTGATATATGTCTATCTGTGTCAATTCTTTGGTCAAAGTCTGTTTATAAACTGATGAAATGAGAGATAAGCTTGTCATTGAGTTCTATTGGGAGTTCCTGTGAAATCTTGGACTCTCTATCTCAGTGCAAAGTTGTTTCTTTTCATAAACCTGGTACACTTCCAAAGTTGGCTTTGAAATTTGCAATGCCAAATTTTCTTGCTTGTTTCCAAGGGAATATTCAGACAAATCCATAAACAGAATCTGTTCTGGCGATTTTCACTGACATATTTTGCAATTTTGTCTTCCAACTGCAGCAACATGCTAGCATTTCCTCAGGACATTTATTCTTAGGCATCTGCCTAAGCTGTAAAGAAAGCTTGTTCCTACCTCTAATGTTCTTCTCCAATATCTTGAATTCTCCAGCTTCTGCAAAATTATTTGCCTGTGCTGTAAATGTCAAGACTTCACAAGTTTGAACTGGGCTGTGTACCCTCCATTTCTTCTAGATATCATGTTGTCACATTAGATAGCAGGATTGGCAGGAATGCAGCATGCAACTCTGAAGTAATAGCCATAACATGTGTTGACATGTACAGACACAGGACTAATTCTTAAATAGTGTGCTATTACAAACATGTAAAATAGGAGCACATTTAGCCCCTGAACCCTGTTCTGCACTCAGTAAGGTCATGCAATTTGTTCATGTTTCAAATTCCACATTTCCATCTACCTGGAAACAGTTGGGCAAGGGAATCAATCTACCACTGCCCTAAAAATATAATTTCTACAATTTTTAATCAAACAAGGTGCCACAGAGGGAGTTTAACTTCAGCAGAAACAGGTGGCAAGTACAAAGAGTTTGGGTTTTTTGGCTAAAAGTCAGGCTTTGATCTACACACAAATCATGTGAAAATTGTATTGTATTTGGTAAAAATTCAGGGTTTGGCTTTTACAGGAAATCAGCCATTACTTGAGTATGTATGATAAGTACATTAAACATGTGTGCTTGAATTAAGCGTTTATTCTGATGACACTAGAAGCACAAGGTTCATCAACAGACTGATTTTTTGTTAACAACCTATAATATTTTGCATTTACCTCTCAACTGTAACCAGTGCTTCACAGGAACTAATAAGGTCAACCAGAAGGGGCCTAATCCACTATTCAGCCACCAAAATATATTTTTTTGGCAGTGTGGAACATGTATGCTTTGCTGACATCTGTATCTGTACTTTTAACCACACTCATTCTCCTAAATTTTTGTTAGGTGCAGCCAAATGGGTTGTGACAACATCCACCTGCAGCGTGTCTTTAAACACTTAAACCTAGCAGAGGAAGCATCCCAAGGTACATTTCAATGGGAGAAAACTTACACCCAAAGGGAGGAACACACACCAAGCTGGGTTAAGAATAATTAGGGGAAATAACTGAAAATTTGATCAGTGTGCACTAAGGAAGTTTCAAAAAGGTGGAGACTGAAGTGAATACATCATAAGCCTCAAGTAAGAAGTTCCAGAGAGTACAGCTGAGGCGCCTAAGAACTTTCACTAAAAATGAATGAAGGCCAGAGGGAGGTGACTATACAAGTATGCTACCACAGCAAAGTACTCCAGATGCTGGAAATCTAAACTAAAGGCAGAAAATGCTTGTTAACAGATTTCTGAGGAGAGCGAACATGACATTACGACCAAGGCTAAAGAAGTGCATTCTCACGAGTCCTAGGGAACCACTAG